ACAAGCCAGGATGCCGCTGGCCCTCTTGGCCACCTGGGCACCCTGATGGCTCATATTCAGCCGCCTGGCGACCAACCCCCCCAGCTCCTTTTCCGCCGGGCAGCTTTCCAGCCCCTCTGCCCCACGCCTGGAGCGTTGCGTGGGGTTGTTGTGACCAAAGTGATGAAGTTGACAGCTCTACTTGTAGAAAGATACGTCTAAAGAGAACAAATGCTGCTGTGTGTCTCTGAAAAGTGTAGTAGAACCGGATTAATCGGCTCACGTTAACTGAATATTGTTTGTTCCTTCCAGCCACGCCGTATCCTCACGGATTTAAGTGTTTCACCTGCGAAAAGGCAGCAGATAATTACGAATGCAACCGATGGGCTCCGGATGTCTATTGCCCAAGAGGTAACCAGCCGCATGCTAGCGTTTAATCTAAACCCACCTTTCGATCCACCGCTCGCTGCCCCCGCCGCAGGGACAGCACTGAGCCCCTGTTATTCCGTACGGACGCTGGCGATTGCTGCTCCCCCTTGTAAGCCGCCTCGACAAGGAAGACGTGTAAGCGATACAAGTAATCCTTTAAGCTTTTCTGTCTCTTTGCAGTGGATGAAGTTTAGGACTTTCATCTGCTCCCTGTACTCCTCTAGCTCAGCTGGAAATTAAATTAGGCTGACATTTACGGAAGGGTTGTGTTTCTCTTACTGGTGAGTCCGGGACCAACACTTTTGGAAGCTTTGTTTGCTTCCCTCCCATATGGCACAAGCCCACGCATGAGGGGAGCCAAGGCTGCCTCTTTTCAGCTGGCATCAAGGTATTTTCAGTATTTTGGGCTCGTAACTCCTATCGGAGTCTGAAGTTGGGAACAGCTCAGAAAAGGCTTTGGGCTACAGGTGCCCAAATACCAGATCCAGGGATCAGTGAGACCCTCACATCTCCCCTTCCCTTACCGCTTCTCTTTTTGAGACACAACCATTAAGATCATCCACAGCCCCTCGACGAAGCCCTGGACAGGGCAGAGGCGGTGCTGAGGGCCAGGGTTTGGGGGTGGGATGGCAGGGTTAGGGGAACGGTTGGGCTGGGAGAGCTTAAAGGGCTTTTCCAACCCAAATGATTCTGTGATTCTGGGGGTTGGACGTGGACGGTGTCCTCAGTGGTGTGGGAACCATGTGTGGGCAGCAGGCAGCCGTCAGGGCAGCTGGGGCCATGCGGGCAGGGGGACGCTGCCAGGGCTCACTGCTCCCCTGGTGCTCTCCATAGGCTCACCAGTGCTGTTCAGCACCTATCCGGAACATCTGTGGTCTGTTGTGGGACATTGCAAGTGTCCTCAGAAAATATTTATTTTGGAAAGAGAAAGACCATAACCTGCACTGCAGGGATGAACCAGCTGTGTTTGCAGCCTGCATGTTATCTGTCCGAGCATTTATTTGCTTTGAGCTCAAACCAGTAGAACATCAGCAACAGTAGAAGGGATCAGGCTGGCTGGTGTGGGATGAGCCCAACCCCCATGGCCCCTGCCTGCTTGGACAGGGGTGGGTGGTGTTGAAATGATGGAGGACAGCGTCACTTACCGAGCGCTGTGCCAGGAGGGAGGCGTGACTAGAGGTCTGCCTCTAGTAACAACCAGCAGAAATGGCCTGACCCCCAAAAAATGCTCATCTGGAAAGAGGAGTTAGTGCTTAGTGGCCGTTTAGGGGAGGGGACAACCACGCTTTGGTGCGTCTGTAACTTGTTGGCTGTGTTCAACCAGACCAGAGCTGCTGGTTTGGTGGGCAGCCCTCCTGCCTGCTGGTCCAAACACCCACTGTTTGTGAAGTAGGGGTGGGGTTTTGGCCATGGGAAGGGGCTAGCTGGAAATCTGAGGCTGTCTTTAATCTTCAGAACACAGGACTTCTTATCTCCTTAGAACAGAGGGATTCGGTAAGGCTTTACTCCAGGCAGAGCGTGGCAGTGCCCAGACTGCCCCAACGCCGCGTGCCTCGGGGCTGGGACACGGCTCTGCCTGCCGCACGGACCCCAGCCCCTCGCTGCCGGCTTTTGGGAGACGCCGGGGCCTCCACTGCTGAGTCCAGCAGTCGCTGTGGTTCAGACGACTGGGGAAAGGGGACGGGCGCTATGGCTTAAATGCTCTGTCCTCATTCCGGGCGGTGGAAGCAAAGCCAGTGACGCCACCGCTCCCCGCTCTGCGGAAATGGGCCGCTGCTCTTCACCGATGCCTCACCACCGATGGCTTTTGTTGGTGCTTCTCAGCTTCCCGGCCAGTACACTTCCACTTCAGGCAGTGTTTATTAAGCCAGCTTTTTTTTCTTTTGGCGCTTTCATTTTCAAAGCTGATTTCGAGTTCTTGTGAGGAAGCCGCAGAAAATGCAACCGCGGGTTTGCGGCGCGACCCCAGGCGTGCTCCGGGGGCCGGGGTTATCTGCTCAGCGAATTTCCTTATCTCTGGCAGTCAGAGGGATATGGAATGCTTGTGGCGTTGCCTCCCTCGCTGCAGCGAGCCGAACCCTTGTTGCTGTGCTTGGGATAAGTGGTGGGAGAAAACTCCACCCTGGTCTTTGCTATTCTTCTTCTTTTTTTTTTTTTTTTAAAGACAGAATGCTATTAAAACCTAGCAAACCGAAATATTTACATTAACCATCACATAGGACTTAAAGGGAACCGCATTTTGTGTATAACAAAATTCATTATAATGGAGAGTTAGAAACATGAATCCTTGCGTTGAACAGAGATTAGAAAAAGCATTTCCTAGAAGGCAGGCCTCCTGCTGTGCATTAACCTGGTTTTCTGTTATTTATTAGCTTCAGCTCAAGCAGAAACTGTGTTAGCGATCTAATTTGTATGGAAATACTGCACTCAAAATACTCCCAGTCCTCTGGTTTTGGACGGCCTGTGGGAGGGCTGCCATCTCGATGATGGCCACCTCTACCATGGTGATGGTCCGGGCACCTGAAAGCACAGTTAGAGGCTGCAGCTTGGGGAACGGGCTCTCAGAAGTCAGGGTGTGACTCTGGGGCCTTCGAAATACCAGATTCAGTGTTTCCCTACCCACTTGGGGCAGGTCGAGGCTGGGGCTGTCTGTCATATGTTGGTGTTTGGAGATACCTCGTAGCTGAAACACATCATCCAGTCTTTGCAAGACAGTTCCACCAGAGGCAGGAAAAATGCCAAAGAAGCGGTGACAGTGTTATCTGTCGTGCCGGGGGTCGATGTAAATCGACAGCCCTGAAAAATCCCCCAAATAATCTCACGTAGAGCAACAACCTCATTTCCAAATGCTTTTGCAGGGGAATGCGTTGCCGGACAGCCTGAGTATTACACCACCATCAGCCTGGCTCTTGAGTGCCTTTAAAGACACTCTGGGACCGCAACATTTAGGAAACATAAATCCATGCTTTTTTGATATATTACCACCAAGACCCATCCCTACCGTCTGGCCGTACCGCTGCCTGCCTTGGGCACTACCGCACTTGGAAGCGTCCACTTCCATGCTGCGAGGTCTTATTCGAATCGCTCTAAATTTCTCTGATGTTTTTCGGTAAAATTTTTGCAGCACTGGGCCTGTGTTCTTCACGAGCTCAGCTTGGGGTTCCTCCTCCATCCCTCTGGCAGGCAAGCTCCCTGTTTGCAGAGCAGTCGTTGGGGGTTCGGTTTCCCACCTCTGCGTCGCTCGGGGCTCTCCCAGTGCTCTCAGGCTCCATCCTTGTCGTAACGCCTGTCCTCGTTACGCTTCGCCTGCTCTGAGCAGAGAGGCAGACCAGAATGCAGCGCAAAAGTTAATATTAATTTGGGTGAGTGGATTTGGTTGCTTATTATGGACTTAATCCATAGCTGCAGCCCTGCCTTGCAGGAGGCGATGGCCATCGGTGATGGCTGTGCAGGGAGAGCATGCTTGGTCCCTCCGTGCAGGGGAGAATGCCTATCTCCAAGATGATTGCACAATATTTTCTAAAAACACTCTTGGAAGAAAGAGCCCTAAAAGAGTTATGGGGTGCTAGGAGCTTTATTTGTTCCATCTGGGACCTGTCAAGGGTGAGCTCCATTGCACGGATGGAGCCATTGCAGGAGAAATAAAGCTCTGGGTCTGCTGGGGAACAGCACTTCCAGGCGAGGTCCTGGGAGAAGCTCAAAGCCATCGTGCAGAGAGTGTGGTCCCCTCGGGGTAAAGCTGTGAGCTTCCCCCCGTAGCGCGGGAGAGCCTGGAAAATGCGTTAAAACCCTGGTGCCGCAGCCCTGGGCGCTTTGAAGGAAGGCAGCACGCCGAGCATCTCCAGGCTCTGGTGAGAAGTCAAGCCTGTTCGCTGTGGGTATCGCACTTGAGCTAAGGAGCAGGTCAAGGACAGATGTCTGAGGGGTTTTACTGCCTAATGAATAACGTGTTCAGCTGGCAACCCCGCTCGGCTGTTGCCAAATGCCTAAAACATGAGAATTATGCAGGGCTTTGCCCATCCGAGACAAGGGCTGGACAGGAATGTTCCCTTTAAATTAATTACACGCCTTTTTCCCCCACTGTGAAAGCAACAATTTTATTAATAATAAGGTTGATTAATAAGAAGCAAGGTATAATTTAGAGAAGAAATATATAATGGCATGTTTCCTGTGTTGAAAATTCAGTGTTTTCATCTCGGAGTGCTAGGACGGGGAACAGCACCTTCAACTTCCCTCGGACGACCGAAGCATGAACTAAACCCGCGTTCCTTTGCGCCCGAGGATGGCCACAGCATTTGCCCGTCACCCCGCTTTGAAGTTTCTGTGTGTTTTACAAGCATCACTAGGGGAGTAGCTTAAAAAAAGGAGGAGGAGGAAGAGGATGGTCCCCAAGGGAGACCATCCATGGGAGAAGCAGGCAGAAGGTGCGATGGGAATACCAGGGACACGCTCCGATTCATGGTGCCTTTTCCCAAAGACTGGGCAACTGAGAAGTACAGAAATCCTCCCGGCCGTTCTGTCGGTCTTTTTTTTGGCATTATTTTCTAGGTGATAAAGCTGAAGGACAGAGAGGGTGAAGGATCTTCCCGAGGGCCGGGATCAGAGCGCCAGCAGCGAGGACCG